AAAATGCTATCGCAAAACGATTGGAAATAATAAATGTAACAGCAGAATACGTCCTAGCACAGTCACTCTACTAGGAGAGAGTAACTGTGGTCCTAGTACTAAACTAAGCGACTTCTAAAGACTGAATGGTGTTTGCGAACTTCGTATTAGTTATAAACCGACGTCAGCTTCACGTTTATGTCACCATGGAAACAGCCAAAAAACATGTTGCTTGTTTTTGAGCGGAGCAGATCGCCAACCAGCCTACCGGCTTGTCTCAAATATTGATCATCACATTTGAATAAAACTTGGTACATAAATGCTCTAGGACAATAGACAGTCAGATTAATTTTGGATTAAAATCTGTTCATATTCTCTAATTAGCATTATAATTATTTTTTTGGTTCTAATCACATTTCAATGAAACTTGGTACATTGTGCAGACCTTATTAGTTTTACACTTAAATCTATTCATATTAGTTACCTTATTTGCATAATTAGTTTTCAGCTATTCCATCAATATCTCAAGTATAAGTAATTTTGAATTAATTTTTAATGTGTCTCCAAAACTCTCAGCACACAGGAGTTCTTTCTAAGCTTTCTTTGATTATGCATTTCATTTTCACAATTACTAAATGTATTAAATTCACGCCAAAAAAAGTATTAAACATAGAATTAATGTTTTCATGGCAAAACAGTTGATTCCAGAACATGTCTGATTGATTTTACCTGGTAGAATTTGGATTTTATGTTTGCAAGTGCGTTTTTGATCAAAGTTGCATTGCTGTAGTTTGAAATAAAATTGTAAAGTTTGTAATCAAATAATAATTTACTGTGTTCTTATGTGGAACGCTTGTAAAAACCTATTTTCATATTTCATGCAATTTGCAACAATTTCAATCCAATTTAAAAATAGTTTCATGTTTAACTGTTTCAATGTGACTGGTTTTCAATGCACTCCAGCTCCACCACATATCCCTTGTGAAAATGCTAATGTACCAAGTTTAAAACAAAAGCCTGACATTGTCAGGTTGCAAAATGAACTGGTTAAAGCATTGCAGATCAGTTGTCAAAGTGAACTAAAGGTGATGATAAAACCAACATATTAAGGTAGCGGGACTATTATTTGCATACTTGTTTTCATCCTCTAATTGTGACTAAATGACTACAAATAGACCCAGGAAAGTATATATTTTTAGAATCGCCAGACTTCAAGCTTTTCACAAGTGTATTTTGCATGCCCGTATCTGCATTCTACGACGCGTTACTGTAAAAAAAATAATTACGCATTTATGCTGGCGATAAGAAGTATTTTTTTCACTTTTCCTAGTTGTTCAATAGTCTGGTAAATTAAATGTGTCTGGTCAGTTTTAATCAAGCAACGCGTTTTAAAAAATAGTGTGCTGAATTTCAATTACTGTTTTAGTCGCATTGCCCCCAACTCAAACCACAACTCGTTGGTAAATAATCGATGAAATAGTTTGTCTGGACACATTCAAGTTCCACTCACTGTCGCCTTAAAGCTGTGAAAATTTGGTGTTTATCTGACAACAATAAGTATGCGTTATTTTTTGTTAAAGACCTTGTATTTTGAAAAACATAAACTCCTAGAAAACGTCCATGAAGTAACAGCAAAGATTTTCATGCTTGTTTATCGGCACAATCAATTTGTTTTCCCATCAAGGTCTATTTTAACATGTGAAGGGACATCCAAATGTGTAAGGCTATTGGAAACCAAAAAAAATAAAGGAATGGGATAGCTATAATTGGA